AAGAATCAATGCAATGCTGCTCGAAGTTGGTAATGTGCTTGGAATTGCTGGCAGAAAGAACATAAATCCATGCCTCAGAAATGCACCCTCTCCCATGTCCATGGGATTCTCCCTGATAAAGTCCTGCCAAACAAGAGCAGAACTCGTTCCTCAACATCTGTTGCAGCTCAAACTATAAGGCAAAAGAGGAAATAAACCATGAGCAAAAGTGAACAGAAAGGAAAAGTTGGAGAGCTACCAAGAAGTACAATTAGCTGCAGTGTACATAAATGGTTTAAATATTAAAGGACAAAATGTAAAATCCAAACCAGAAGAGGACTAATCACATTGGAAAATGGACTAGAAAAAACTGAAAAATATTAAATGGATTCCTAACCAGGAGATTAGATACAGCTACAAAAAAAAAAAAAAAAAAAAAAAAAAAGTGAACGAAATAGAAACCAGATCACCTAGGACTCTGCACCCAGAAAACACAAGAAACAGGAAAGAAAAGCTAGACATGAGTATGGAATTAAAGGATGTAGCATGCATACGCATAAGGAAAAGGGAAACATATGCAGAGAGAAAATATGGGAGAGAATAACCAGACAATGGTTCAGAATTTTCTAGAATAAAGACATGAATCCAATTTCAAAAAGGACAATAAACCCAAAGTAAAGGAAAAAGGCAGCTCATATCCCATTTCTACAAACTGGATAACTGTGAGAGAAAAATATATAAACATCTTTTTTAAAGGCAAGAGAATATCAGCAATTTACTTGATAGTGTTTTGTTTTTTTTAAATGATGTGTTTGTGTAGGCTTGTGGACAAAAGTACAGGCACCTACAGAGGCAAAAGAGAATATTAGTTCTCCTAAAGTCTGAGTTACAGGTGCTGTGAGCCACAAGTCAAGAACACTAGGATAGGAACTTAAGTCCTACAAAAATAATACATGCTCTTTTTTTAAACTGTTATCCTTCTCTCAAAACTCATATAGTTTTCCCTCTCTACTCCTCCAAGGCCCTCCCCGCACACCCTCTCTTTCTCATATCAACTCCTTCTCCATGTCCATTTTAAAACAGGAACAGGCCTTACAGGACATCCATAGACCATGGCCTAATGAATTATAATAAGACTGGGCACAAACCCTCATATCAGGGCTGGATGAGGCAGCCCACTAAACCATCTCTCCATCTCCATGGGAGAACAATTTTAACGGTCCAATTTCATTTCACAGACTTCTCAAAAACAGAGGAAAAAGAAAACAGGAAAAAAATGACATAATCTATTTTAAAAATAATGGAAAAATCCACTTAGCATTTTATACCCAAATTAATATTAATAGTAAGAAAGAGATAATTCTGTAAGAATCTAGCCACTGACCCTATAGAAGCTACCTTTCCTCCACGTGAACCTTGAGGATGTAACCACACAGAGGGAACCATGTGCTGGTGACACTCCAAGCTTCTATGTGAAGCTAACCTTATTCTTAGTTGATTGGTGTATCCCATCTCCATTGATAGTTTTTTAACTAAAATGGAATGAAGACAGCGGTTCTAGCTAAGCAGCCATGACTGGGATCACTCTTCACATTTTATAGACAGGTTAAAACAATGGCAATATTTGCCACCCTGTGACTAGATACAACTACTCTTATCTCAACTACACTTGTTTTCTCATGAGTCCAAGTCTAAGTTGGCAAGAAGCATCACTCGCATGTTACTGGGGTTACTGAGGCAGTATTATAGGTACTGCCAACCCCTTATGGAAACTTTGGACAGGATTGCATCAGTGGAAAACTTGTTCTTTTGAGTGGAGCCACCCACATTACCAGAAATTAACCTTTAAGCTCTTCATCATTATGAAGCTTGCAGATAACCAGAGCAATGTTCAATGAACTTTGCCTGTAAACCTGCAAATATGTTCTATCTAGTGGGGAATGGGTGACTCCTCCATGAAAATCCAGTTTGTCTGTCTTTCAGTTCATCTAAGGACTGATTTTTATGCATAGTTTGTGTTTCTCTGGATTTCAGTTTGAACCAACTGTAACATCTAGTTAATAATTAATAAAATGAGAAAAACCCTTAATACACATATCCATATGAAACTCATGATTTTTACGATTCATGAAAAGCATCATTTCCCATCCACAAAAGCAAAGCAATTTCTCCAAATGAAACCATATTTCTTATGTTTTTTTCCCCCCAAAACTTAATGCCATAAAGTCTTGGTTTTAAATCATGTTCTTAAATGTAATTAAAAAGGTCCAGATTTCATTGAAAATACAAGTTGTTGATTTTAAGATATATATGTGACTGGATTTTAAAAATAGTTTAATTCACAATTTAAGAAAATGACAGTTTAATAAGAATTGTCACAAATGTTTTTCAATGAAAAACAACAGAGCTCTCATCTCAGGAGGAATAAGAGATCATTTATTCTGGAGCCAAATTTGAGTAACCATAGCCTGGGAACATAGATTTGAGTTACTCTAAATTTTGTGTTCCAGTATAGAAGCACTTTCATGCAGTTTTTATAATAACAAGACACTTTCAAATGCATTGGTGGAAAATATCAAAGGGGTGGTTACAGCAAGATGAAGAAAGCTTTATCAGCTATCAATGCTATCTAATGACAATGCCAGCTTTGGGATTAGGGGAAGTTAGATCTCTGCTAAGTTAATGCATCTGTCTATGTGTCATGGGATAATACTACCAACCACAGAGGTAAGCAAGCAATGGGTATTCGGTGGGGGGTGGTAAAGCTATATAGAGATGAGGTCTCCAACTTCTCCACATCACTGCAGGCCTGATCACTCAATTCATTTTTACAGACAGCGTCTTTTCAAAACTTCTCCTTGACATGTTTAACAAAAAGTAACTGCCATACATTTTGATAAGATTTATTAATAACATGTGAAACAATGTTATTAGAACAAGAAATACAATCTTTTGTCACTTAAGACAGTACCAAGGAAATTCCCAATATAAAAACAAATCTGAGATCTACTAAACTATACCATCTCTGAAGCATTTATCTAAATTTTTCTAGTATTAACAAAAACCCAGGAGTCAGATATTCGGATAAAAACCTGACAGATCAAGAAAGCCGTGGAGGAATAACCAGATGATCCTCTCTCCACATTTCCCAGATGGAAATGCTCACATATCTTTTCTATGACCCTCCCTTCTCTTTCCTTTGCCTCTCTATGGTATTCCTAGCTTCCCTATGAATGACTAACTCCTGTCGGCTAGTTGCTGACTCCACCCACTTTTTCAAGGTTAACTTTATTAATAGTCTCAGAGTATCAGTGCAATCAAATATCCCACAGCACATTTCTGTATGTTGTGAAGCAGTTTCCTCAGAGGCAAACTTCCAGCCTGGTGGGGAAGTGTATTAAGCTCAGGACGTAAACAATTTTGAGGCTTCATGAAGTCTCTGAAAACTGAGCAATGACTCTAGGCTTCGCCCTCCCCAGTAAGGACTGGGTAGTATCTGGAAAAGAGAAAACAGCCACCTAGAAGACTCTCAGACAAGCTGAGATGCCTAGAAAAGGCAGCCTAGCCACCTGCTTTGAAGAGTTCAGCCAAACTACCTGGAAGAAGACACCAGCCGAAATGCCTAGAAGACACTAAGACCAAAGCTGGGAAAAGGCCTCCTCTCCATACTACCGAGCTGCTGAAGGGTGTACGGTGTTTCCAGCTCGTCTGAATGCTACCGAGGCAGGGGCAGGCTCTCAGTGATGCAGCTGTCTTTACATCACTTCTGCAACTGTGAGTCTACTCACCCACATTATTATAAATAACACCAATTAAACTCATTGGCTCAGCAGTTTGGACATTGGTGGTATCCTTACTTTAATCTGTCATTGGCTCCCTATCTGAAGTGAGTAGACATTTATTCATGTTTCCCCATGAGTAGCATCACATATTTTTCTCTCTCTCTCTAAAATTTAGGATGAAAACTTAAGTTTGGTATCTGTGCCATATTTACAGATGTTTACCTGGAAAGAACAGAAAAAGGTAAACATGCTTGACACATGGCAATAGGCAATTTCACAGCCTGTGTTTATCTGAGTGACATGGAAAGGAAAACAATCTTGTTATCTTCAAGCGACTTACTGTAAGCAATGCAAAAGTCACGTGTGGACATGTACTCTAGAAAATAAGCCATTTCTGAAAGATTCAAGGTACAAAATCAAGTTCCATGGGCCAAGTGTTTGTTAGCTGTCATATATCATGCACTTCTGCCAGATTTCTATGCATTTTGGAAATACAACTGCTTACAAATTTAACTCATTAAAGTTCCATCTGTGTGTGTGTGTATATATATATATATATATACATATATATATATATATATTTAGAAATTTCACTAGAAAAAAACCTTTCAAATAAATGAAAACATCCAAACCAAAATTAACCAGTCCCAAAGTCTATACAACTTAATGAAATTATATACAGCAAGAATTGGCATTGAAATAGAAACTATGAAACTGTATATTAAATTGAACATTTTCAGTATTGAATATATTTGATATACTCATCCACCACCAAAAACAAAGAATTCAGGACAAAATTAGAACTAGAAAAATAATTAGTTTTATATCCTCTTTCATAACTCATGTCCATTACCTACAATGTCAGGAAGAAATAAACCTCATATCCTCTAGCCAGTAATATATGCATATAATTAAACAGTATGGTACAGTATAGCATGAAAAGAAAAAGGAAAGCTACCTACTTATAAGGGGATAAGGAAGGACTGAATGAGTGTAATAGGCATATATTCTGATGGCATCATTAGTGTATCCTCCAATCGCTCATATCATAATCTGATAAATGAGATGACCAAAAAAAAAAGTTCAAGTCTCACATTCTATGTGATATGACAGCCTTAAAGTAATAGCTTCAGGTCATTGTACCTACTTAGAAACAGTTAAACATATTTCTATCTAAATTCAGCAAATTAACCATAGCACAGTGATCACACCTTATCCAACCTCAGTGTCAACACTCACCCCATGTTCATTAGCTGCTATGACAACTCTCAGGAGAATATCTTCATCAACAAAAGGTCTCACAGCATCATGGATAATCACAACTTGTGGTTTAGTGAGTTTACAGTCTGGCTGGTCCTCTGCCAGTGCTTTCAGTCCATTGAAAATTGACCTGTGGCGTGTGGGTCCAGCCTCTGCTAGTGAGATGCGCTGATGCCCATACCTCTGGATGATGTTTCTCATTGCTTCCATGTTCTCTCTTGTCACTGCCACAACAATGTCTTTTATCCAGGATACTCTACAAAGGAAGCATGGGTGCATTTAATATAAGTGGACTCTAAAGCTAATAAAAGAAAGCTGAATTCCGGTATAAATAAGTATCCATTGATCTACATTGGGAGATTGTAGCTGAAAGCTCAGTTGTCATGTAGTTTGATCAGGTCTGGGAATCAGGAAGCATTTCACACTATCAATAGAGGTGACTTTTCACATTGTATGTATTTTACGTGGCATCGTACATAAAGTATTAGATACATTAGATTTTTTTTACTTCAATTAAATTTGAACAAATAGTATATCTGTAAATTGTCTGAGAAAACACACAAAAAAATATACTTTTAAATTTATATTTTCCCTATTACTTTCTCCTGTAGTAGGGAAAGAGCAACACAAAACACTATTGAGTCCTACCAGCTGACTATCAAAGATATCCCACAAGCTGCAGCCCACCACTCAAATAAGAAAACTGTCTGAACACAGTCCATAATGGCTGACTCAGGAATGAGAAAGTTTAACAGGATTGTGGATACTAGTGCTAGCCAGCAAGTGACAATGTGGACCTGCATGTTCCAACAGACCCACACCAGAAAATGCCTCTGGCCCACAGTGTCAATTCTGAGAAAAAAAAAAATCACTTAAATTTTCTAACATTTTATATGCCAACTACAAAAAGTAATTTAAAATAATAATATTTAAATAGAATTATAAGATGATAAAATCCTATACATTCATGCTAGAATAGTTAAGTCCTAAAAATACATCGAGTATCAAAATTACAGAAAACAAGAAAATCACTTAACATGTATTATGCACATCTCATTTTTAATTTGTATATTCATGTAATGCCTCTACACCACCTTGGGCAGAGGTATGTGTAATATTCCTTTACACTGTGTGACTATACGTCACTATGATTGGTTTCATAAAGAAGCTGACTGGCCAATAGCTGAACAGGATAAAATTAGGTGAGAAAGCTGAACTCAGAATGAGGGGAGGAAGAAGGACAGAATCAGAGGAGTCTCCAAGAGACAGCGCAAGACATGCTGGAGTGCAGGTAAAGCCACAAGTCACATTGGCAATAAGTTGGTTAATTTAAGTTGTAAAAGCTAGTTAATAATAAACCTGAGCTACTGGCCAAGCATTTATAATTTATATTAAGTTTTTTGTATTTATTTGGAAATGACTGCTGGGACTCAGAAAAACACCTACAAAAGTATTTTTCAGAAGACAATTATATGATAATTAATAATATATACTTCTATAATTTATGTAATAGATTCATACAGTATCTACTGTCTTTCATAGAAATACATACCTCTGTATTTCTACTTTATTCAAAATGAATAAAGATTGAAAAATGCTGTCTTTTTCATTGACAATACAATATTCCTTTTGTTTTGTTGTGTTTTGTTTGATTTGATTTGTTTTATTTAATGCATCTTCTAGAATATAGGCCCCATGGCAACACATATCTCTCTTGCATTATACAAAATATCAAAATGTTTATTGAATGTGTAATATCTTATAACACTTATGGGTTGGTTTCCTTGATTTTAACTTCAGATCCTAAGTAAGAGGTATTCAATTACTTTTATATTTTATCAGACATTTCAAAATGGCTAATTGATTAAGAAAAAAAAGACACAATAACATAGAATGCCCAAGAGTAATGTGTAGTCATTACAGATGATAAAGACTGCAGGATTGTAAATTGTTCCTTGGTTTGCTTATCCCATCCAGACACCACTCTCATTCTTGACAACTCTAGAACTTACACTGTACTAGGAGTATGGAAATTATCCTATTCACAAACATTAAAGCAACCGGCAAATCACTACTCTTCAGACCTGACTCACTGTGGATTTCTGAAAGGTTCTGGCTCAAATCCCACAGCTGTGATCCATCATTCTTTCTTATAATCTCTTATGTCTAATACTTAATGCTGTTCTTAATGTCTCCCAATCTTATCCCAGCACAATCTATTCTTACTACTTCTGGATGATCCCTCTCACCCTAGAGCCATGCTACTGGCTCTGGTCCAGGCCTTTGTAGACCTTACTGCTTCCTGCCAGTCCCCTAATACACAGGCCTCCTCTCTACCACAACACTTTTACTTTCCTGCCTAGCAGCTTCCTGAAGGAAGAGTAATGTGATGTGCGTCCCAAATGCTCACACAGGCTTATGTATTTGAACATTTGGTTTCCAAGTTGATAGTGCTATTTCAAGATGTCATGGAACCTTTAGGGCAAGAGGCATAGCTAACATTAGTGGGTCACCAGGCCTTTGAAGCTTAAAACCAAGCCTACATTCTCTGCTTCCAGGTTTCTGACCTTCTTCCACTGTCTTTCCCACCACTACAGACTGTATCCTTTGCAAATTAAGGCTTCTACTCCCTTAAGCTGATCCTCCCATAGTGATGAGAAAACCAGTATAGAGGGGAACACATCCTCTTGCAAACATGCCTCTGTGTTGCTTTTATTTCTCCATTCTGTCCTCCCCAGTCTCCTATCCTAGTAACCCAAATCTGAGCCGTCCTTGTTCTCCAGCTGCAGACACAGATGAATGCAGGAAACCTCCTTTGACTACATAGCTGGGTGCAACCCCCTACCTTGCACTTGCAAAGGATTCATCCCCAAAAATTAGTAAACAAAGGCAGAAGGATCTACATGAGTTTGTGGCCAGTCTGATCTACAAAGAGAGTTCCAGGACAGCCACGGCTACAAAGTCTGTCTAATTACTAATGTAGTCCCATGTTAACCTCTTTTTAATATAGAAGGAATTATAATAAATATTGGCAGAATATTTTTGCAAAGCAAGAGATTAACTTGATTCCTAAGCTGTTTACCTTTATTTCTTCTCATTACATGTTCTTTCAGAGTTCAGTTGAGACAACTTTTAAGAGTTTAATGAAAAATTACATTTAACTAAAATATGAAAGAAGCAAAAATAAGAATTCAAATATTTGTTCAATAATAAATTAGATATAAATCGTCATAAACAGCTAAACCTGTAGCTTTAGAACATTCCCAGGCAATTGTATTAGTTTTATTAAATGTATGAGTGTTTTGCCTGCAATTGTATTAACTTTATTAAATGCATGAGTGTTTTGCCTGCAATTGTATTAGCTTTATTAAATGTATGAGTGTTTTGCCTGCATACATGTATGTATACCCATGTTCATGCAGTTCAGTGAGACTAGATGTGTGTGAGCTGCCATGTGGGCACTGGCAACTGAACCCAGTCCTCTAAATGATCAACAAGTGCTCTTAACTACTAAACCATCTTTGTAGCCATAATTTTATTAAGTTGAATTTATAGTAGGTCTGGGTTTGTTTTATTTGGGGGGGGGGGTGCTGTTGTTGGGATGGTGTCCAATATAGATTGCCCTTAAATGCACAACCTACACCAAACTGTTCTCAAACTCTTGCATCACCTTCCTGATTGACAGATTTATATAAGTGAGTCACTATGCCCAGCTTTAAAATGTTTAAACCACTGTTTTGCAAAGTGTGCATTTCAGTAACCGTTATATCCTTTTAAGTTAAATTTAGCATCATTGATTAGGCTAAATAGAAATGAGAATAGAATGTTTAGCATGAAATAGGAAAAAGTACCTTTAAAAAGGTGGTAGTTTAGAAACATTACTTCATACCACTCAAGAAGTAGTGAGCTTAGTATGCTATTTTGTTCAACAACCAAGGAAACAGCCAGGACCTATAAGCTTTTGTAAGTACTGTTTGTATTTCAAAGGATTTATTCACATTCTTTTCAAGTCATAGAATTAATTTTTAATTCTGTAAAAGACTTTTAATAATGTAAAAATCATAAGACTGTAAAAGGCTTTAAGTACCTCACACAGTGCATGATGAATAAATACTCACTGAATAGAAGCATCTGGTCTACCTCTGAGCTGAAAACAAGTCCACACCAGACCCCGGCAGCCCAATTCTATCAAATCCTCATGATTATTTCCTTCCTAGCACATTCCACAACAAATATAAACCTAGCCCCGAGCTCCATAACACCTACAGACATTTTGAGGAGGAAATATAATATCTTAGAAGTTATTTTCTCCTGAAATAACAAATGTTACAAGCATTCTCTGCTCAGATGGTTTAATAAAACTCGTTGAAAACAAAACATGTACACCAATTCTTATTTTTAAAACCTGGGGGAAATCAAGCCCTATTAACACCTACAAAAGACTCTCATGCAGGCTGCAGAAATCCAGCCTTAAGGGGACAGTGGCAGCTGCTACTCTCTAACACGATTGTCTTTATGGAAACTTGACTCTGAACTGTGTTGTAGCCACTGTCTATAGATTCCCACCTCTTCGTACCCACTTTGATGATTTATGACAGAATACTGAATTAGCAGTGAGGCAGGCTGGCTGCTAATCCCTTAGCAACAGCAAGTCTCTAACTACAGTTCAGCTCTGTGAGCCTCAGAGCTGCTGTTCTTGGCCTGGTTTTGAAGGAGTCTCAAAGGGAAGGCAACACAGACCTCTAATTGTGTAACCTGTACAAAATACAACAGCTTTACTTCTTCCCAACACTTGGACATGACCTTCTTCTTAATTAATCAACTAATATATCTTACCATTCAACTAAAAGTATCTTAAGCACTTTTCTCTTTCAGAATCACTATTTGATTGGACCAATGACTATTACCTCATAATATTTCTCACATCTTCTCTCTCCTGTTCTTATGATCTTGGTTTAACTTACATGGTCAGTATTGTTCATTTAGAGAAACACTCAAGTAATTCTCATCTATCCAGCTCAGCAGAATTTTCAATGGTTTAAGAGCTTGGCTCTTTTCAATGGTTATAAAGCTTGGATGTGAATCTCTGCTTCTGCTTCCATCAGCTTACTAGATGAAGGCCCTATGATGATATTTGAGGTAGTCATCAATTTAATTATAGGGGAAGGGCATTTAAGGTAGCCTCTCCACTATTGCTTAGATTCTTAGTCGGGGTCATCCTTGTGGATTCCTGGAAATTTCCCTAGTGCCAGGTTTCTCGTTAAGCCTATAGTAGCTCCCTCTATTAAGGTATCACATTCCTTTTCTCCTTCTCTGTTCCTCCCCCAACTTGACCTTCCTGATGCCTCATGTTCTCCCCCACTTCCCCTTCTCCCTTCCACTCTCTCCTTCCTCCCTCTTTCCTCCTCCATGCTCCCAATTTACTCAAGAGATTTTTGTCCCTTTACCCCTCTGTATGTCTCTCTTACCATCCTCCTTGTTTCCTAGCTTCTCTGACAGTGTGGATTGTAGACTGGTTATCCTTTGCTCTATGTCTAATATCCACGTATGAGTGAATACATACCATATTTGTCTTTCTGTGTCTGGGTTACCTCACTCAGGAATCCAGTTGTAGAGAGGGAGGAATGATGAGTGAAGTGGTCAAGACCATGCTGAGGAAACCCACAGAAACAGCTGGGAGCTTGTGGACTCCAGACTGTCAACTGGGGAACCTGTATAAGACTGAACCAGGTCCCCTGAATGTAGGTGTCAGTTGTGGGGTTGGGCAGTATATGGGGTCACTGGCAGTAGAACCGGTATATATTCCTAGTGCATGAATGGGTTTTGGGAGCCCATTTCTTATGGAGGGACACTCTCTCAGCCTAGATACACAGGGGAAGCCCTGGCCCTGCCCTAAATGATGTGACAGACTTTGATGATACCCCATGGGAGTGCATGGGGGTGGGATTAGGAGATGGTGGGGGGAATGGAAGGGTGGAAGGGAGCGGGAACTGGGATTGGTATGGAAAATAAGATTTTTTTTAATTTTAATAAAAACTAATTTATAAAAACAATGTTATAAAGGCAAGGTTGTAATTATTTCATTAAACCCAAGATAAATGATACATGAGTGTTTATTGGAGAACAAATACACAGAAAAGTACAAAGAACCCATGACAGCACTTGTCTGCCCTTCCTACTCCACTCATCCACCAGAAAGAGCAAAGGAAAGCCATGCCTCAAGCTTCCTTTTTTCCAGTTTCATCTGCCTGAGGCAACACCCGGGGAGGTGTGGCCATAGTTACAAGTTCACTTCAAGACTGCTACAAGGTTATGGACCAGAACAATGTATGTGTGATTGATATCAGAGGCAAAATTATAATGTTTTGATAAACATGAACCATATCAAGGAACACGTTCTCTTAAGAAGGGTTTTCCACCTCAGAGGGACCAAGAAACCTCAATTTTCAGGGCAAATGAGGTCAAAGCAGACCTGTCAGGGCAGCCCAGACCCATCTGTTCAAATATGCATGGTTCAGGTTCACTGCACTTATTTGTCCTTGCGTAGTCATGAGCTTGTCTTTGTTTAAAGCTATTCCACACTAACAAACATTTTCTTTCCATACATATTTGAAACCAGGAATCAGGTTACTGGTAAGAATTTTTATTTCTGTGGTCCGCTAGTCACCAACCCCACATTTTGTATCTTAACAAAAGAAAGAAAGAAAGAAAGGAAGGAAGGAAGGAAGGAAGAAGGAAGGAAGGAAGGAAAAAAGAAGGAAGGAAGGAAGGAAGGAAGGAAGGAAGGAAGGAAAAGAGAAGAAAGGAAGGAAGGAGAGCCTTGACCCCTGTGACCCAGCTGTAGGATTTTCCCAGCTGACTTCAGCCCCTGCCAAGATCTTAAACATCTCCAGATATTGATAAAGCTGTTGTCCAGCAGGAAGAAAAAAAAAAAAAAAAAACTGGCCCCACTCCTGAGCTAAAGTTCATTAAGCTGTCAACTCCATCCTATAACTCCATGTAAAGAGAGCATCACCCTACCTCTCCTCTGTCAGGAGGATGAGCAGAGGCATTCTGGATGCTCTTCAGACTCTACATTGTGATGTCTACTGCCTCCTTCTGTGACATTTCAACCATCCCCATTGAAAACAGTGTCACTCCATTGTGGGAACTACTCTACTGCTGCTCTTGTGGGTCTGTCAATCAGTGACTATGAGGGACAAAATAATTTCCAACTTCAGAGCCAGAAAGAGCATTTTTCTAAATAGTAACATTTGGATATATAAGTTAAAGAACAGAACTGAGCCTCCTATCAGAACTTAATGCCCCAGACAATAATGTTTTTGTCACATGGCTTCTTAAAACAAAATTTCTTCATAGAGACTCATGTCACAAAGCAATAATTGCATGAAGGACTAAGACTGTTGATCTCAGTTCCTTGTTAATCAAATAAGAAAGTAATCTAAGTTTCCTGAGTTATAACCTGTTATAATTTATCCCAATTTCCCTAGCAGGTGATTGGGATTTCAAACTGCTATACTCAATTGAGTAAAAAATGGAAAACAAGTATAATTTTGCCACGTTTCATAATTATTTTATAGTATTTATATTTTATGTTATATTCCATAATTATTTTCCAAACCCTTTCCAGACATCTTTTTCATTAAAAAATTAATTTTTAGTGTTCACCTATCTCAGGCTACCACAGTACATGCAACAAAGCAAATTAATACACAGCATCTCCCATGTAAAGAGATGTTAAATGAAAAAGCATCTACAAATCCCTCCATATAACTACCAAGCAGTCAAAGATTCTTCTGCCCATGTCCATAGCAAGCCATCCCATTGCCAACTTGGATGCCATGTCCATTGCAGACCATCTCACTGCCAGCTTGGAATTCCTTGTCCATTGCAAGTCAATTCATTACCCACAGGGATGCCATACCCATTGTAAGCCAGCCAGTTGCTGCCATGGATACTGTGGTGCCAGCATGTCTGCATTGCTAACTCTGTAGGTGTGTGGTATTGACAAGATGGCTTTACAAAGCAATCTCCAAACTATACACAGGAATAAAAGCCACCGACGGGATGGTAACTGGAATCTCTTCCAGGGATGACTGAATTTCAGATGTAACCACTGGCCTGATTACATTAATCAAGGATGATTACAGCCTCTTACACTTCCATTTGCCAAACGCCAATAATCAGAAAGGAAAATAATCTTATGAGCAATTACTTTGTCCCTTTGACTTTCTAAAGTGTGTTGGGGATGGAGAGAGAGTTACTCTTCAGCACAAAATGCCAAGGACAGTGCTTTCTATCGAACTCTCCTGCTAAACAATGCTGTTTTGAAATGTAACCAGTTCCCTTCCTGGTTTAAGGCATCCCATGGGTCTCCACCCGACTTCAAGAGTAAAGGCCTTGCAGAATTAGAGACCACTATAACGCTATGGGTTCCTGCCCTTACAGACTCACCTCAGCCACATCATATCACAACACAAATTACATTTCCCTTCTTCTCATCTCACCACGTCTTCAGGGCCTTCCTGACATGATGGAACCAACAACTCCAGTCTCTTTTCTAGGGTGTCTTGGCCTCAGTCTCACCCTCCAATAACCTTCCCGCTATGGAACGACGGAAATTGACTCTGAAATTCTCTCCACTGCCTGATATTTGGCCAGGCCTGTCTCCCAGAAAAAGAAAGAAAGAAAGAAAGAAAGAAAGAAAGAAAGAAAGAAAGAAAGAAAGAAAGAAAGAAAGAAAGAAAGAAAGAAAGAAAGAAAGAAAGAAAGAAAGAAAGAAAGAAAGAAAGAAAGAAAGAAAGAAAGAAAGAAAGAAAGAAAGAAAGAAAGAAAGAAAGAAAGAAAGAAAGAAAGAAAGAGAAAAGAAAAAAGGAAAGAAAACTAAAGAGAGAGCAAAAGAGAGGGGGGAGGGAGGGAGGGGAAGAAGGAAGGAAGGAAGGAAGGAAGGAAGGAAGGAAGGAAGGAAGGAAGGAAGGAAGGAAGGAAATAAAGAAATAAATAAAAAAGCGCCTGCCCAGGAAATTAGCACGCTCGGGCGCGCATGCGCGGTAGTAGTGCGCACAAGGCACTCCTAGAGTCGCCCTTCCCTGGGCCCACGGGGCCTCAAAGGGACCGAAAGCTCCCGGGCCCCTGTGCTCTGCCCAGTCGGCAGCCCAAGCCCGCATCCCCGCCACGCTGCTGCCGGTTAGGATGGGCCCGGGCTCTGGGCGGGTGACCAGCGCCAGTTACCTTTCCAGGGCCTGCAGGGTGTAGCTGATGAGCGGCCTCTCCAGGACGCGGCAGAACTGCTTCGGGGTGCGGACGCCCATCCTCTCCCCGCAGCCCCCGGCCGGCAGCACGGCGGCCACGGCTGCGGGGCGACCCCAGGGCTCGGCCCCGGCGGTAGACAGCAGGGACGCTGGAAACGCCGCGCTCTCGCTCGGCGAGCCGCTCACGCAATGCCCCGGCTCGGCCGGCCTACTGAGCTGCCCGGGCTCCATGGCGCCGAACCACGCGGTATAGGCGGGAACAGAGAGGGAACCTGTCGCCAGCACCACCACGGGTCGGGGTGGACCAGGACCGGCCCTGAGAGGACTCCGGGACGGTGGCCCCAGGTGGTGATCCCGGCGGGAGCGGCCCAGCCAGTCTTCTCCGCCTGGGCCCAGCGCCCCGGGCAGCGAGCGCTCTTCCTGCCCTTCCCTCTCTCCCTCCGGGCAGGCCCTGCTGAGACTGCTATGGCTGCCCTTTCACAATTTAGGGTCTCTCTCTCTCTCTCTCTCTCTCTCTCTCTCTCTCTCTCTCTCTCTCTCTCTCTCTCTCTCTCTCTCTCTCTCTCTCTCTCTCTCTCTCTCTCTCACACACACACACACACACAGAGCTATGCACGACACAGTCACAGTTCCCATTCTAGATAAGTGGAAAAGATTTGTATTTGAGTTACAGTACAAGACCGAGATGTGTGCATCTCAGTTATATGAATTTCGATAGTCACAGATGAGCACTGATTTTACCAAGTGGTCAAGTTAAAGTTATGGGAAAAGTCTAGAATCCAGACTGCCAGGTTGATTTCCAGACGTACCTTCACGTAACCACCAAACAGAGTGTCTCTGAACCCTGTATTCCAAGCTCAAAATGTGGGATTTGATTGGTCTAGTATGCAGCCCGTGGAATGTTTCCGAAGTTCCACCGGTGATCTTGTTGAGCAAGTGTGTTTTTTGTTGTGACCAGATAATGACAACAATTGTTGTTCTTTTGTTTCAATTATAAGATAAAGCTGGGGGGGGGGGGGGGAGTCCCCACATGACATGAGGGACTGCAAGGTAAAGGACCACATTGGAGAATATAGCAGGTTCCACAGCAGAACAGAATAACATGACATACAGAGCTTGAGTGAGTTTATTTAGAAAGGGAAGAGAAAAGAGACATAGAGACACACGGGGAAAGGAAGAGAAGAGCTGGAAAGAGAGCAAGGAGAGCATACCTGGGCAGGGGTCTGACTTTTAAAGGGGTCCTTTACACCTCCCTGCAGACTAGTACTCATGGAATCCTGGGCTGACCAGAGTACTGCCTGTGTACATTCTGACAGGTGACAGGGGCAGGCCAGTATAATGCCTGAATCCTTACAGTAATCACAGTAATTGCTGAATAATCAACACACATCTCATGCTAACAGGAAAAACCCCAGTGGTCAATTTCATTGACAGGATAAACATAAAATGCTAAGTAACTTGTGTAAGGCTGCACAGCCAATGGCAAGACAGCCATAAATCCTTGCTTTAGAGGTACAACCAGCATTGAGGATTCCAGGCCTGCTTCACATCTTGCCCTTATTTAGTACTGTCTTTCTGGAAAGTGTTGATGAAATATAATGGAGTGAAAACACTCTTGTATTCAGAATCAGAAATGTAAAATTCATGAGAGTAAGGCCTCGCTTTGGTTTGGGTTGTATGCCCAGTTTCAGGAAAGTCTAATAATTGTTGAATGAATTTCTGATTGAATAATGACAAAGTATATGGAATTATTTGACCATGTATATTATCAATCTTCACCCACCAATAGCTAAATTACATTCATAAAAAGTTGAGCATTGAAATTATCCAGTTATAATATTAAATCTCATTATTTTTATCCATTTTGCCAATTGAAAGCATACAAAAATAAATCCTCTGCTCTTGCCTCCTTTTGTCTACTATTCTAAAGTACTTTCTTTTGTTGTTTTCATTATGGCTAATAGACAGCTGTGTTAACTGAAGTTTGTCAAACTCTTGACCCTGAGATGAAAAGAAAGCATTGTAGTGGACATATTTGTACTTCAATGCTTGAAGAAACAAGAGGTGGAGCAAGAGAGGGAGAGACTGAGAGAATTATAGAGAGAAAGTTGGGGAACAGAGACTGATTCTAGCAGAGAGATCTTTGCCAGGGAATTAGGTGTTTGAAGTGGTATACTTTGCTCAATGAGACACTAGAGAAAGCCCCATCACAGCTTTTGTTACTTACAGATCCCGGCAAGAGGTGCCCATGAGGCCCAATAGCTAGACCAGAGGAGACAGCAGAGTACTCACTTAGCAGGGAGAGACAATGGAGAGAGCACAGCAGAGAGAGAGAACCATAGGCAAATTATAAGGAAAACTGCCTCTATAAAACCATGACTTTGTCTATATAGGTGATACATGGGCTGAGAAAGAAATCAGAGAAACATCACTCTTTACAATAATCACAAACAACAAAATATCTTGAGACAACTAACCAAACAGGTGAAAGACCTGTTGGTATGACAACTTTGAGTCATTAAAGATATCAGAAAATGGAAAGATCTCCCATGCTCTTGGATAAGTAGGATCAACGTGATAAAAATGGCAGTCTTAGCAAAAGCAATGCAATTCCCATCTAAATCCCAGCACAATTCTTCACAGATCTTGAAAGAAAAATACTCAACTTCCTATGGAGAAAGAAGACGAAAACCCAGGATAGCCAAAACAACCCTGTGCAATAAAGAATCATCTGGGGGCATCTCTATTCCTGACTTCAAGTTCTACTATACAGCTATAGTAATGAAAACAGATTGGTATTGGCACAAAAACAACAAGGTAGACTGATGGCATTGAATTGAAAACCCTAATATTAATCCACACACCTACAAACACCTGATTTTTGATGAAGAAACTAAAACTATACAATGGAAAAAAGAAAGCATCTTTAACAAATGGCTCTGGCTACCTTGATGCTGGTGTGTAGAAGACTGTAGATAGATCCATATCTATTACCATGCACAAAACCTAAGTCCAAATGGATCAAAGATCTCAACATAAATCCAGCCACAATGAACCTTATAGAAGAGAAAGTGGAAGGTACCCTTGAATGAATTGGTACAGGAGACCATTTCCTGAATATAACACCAGACACTGAGATTGACAATAAGTAGGACCTCCTGAAACTGAGAAGCTTCTGTAAGGCAAAGGACACAGTCAACAAGACAAAACAGAAGCCCACAGAATGGGAGATCTTCACCAACCCCACATCTGACAGAGGGCTGATCTCCAAAATATACAAAGAACTCAAGAAGCTAGTTACCAAAACACCAAATAATGCAATTTAAAAATGAAGTACACAACTAGACAGAGAACGCTCAATAGAGGACTCTAAAATGGCTGAAAGACACTTAAAAAAGTGCTCAACATCCTTAGCCAAATGCAAATCAAAACAACTCTGAGATACCATCTTATACCTGTTAGAATGGCTAAATTCAAAAACATCAAAGACGGTTTATGCTAGAGAGGATGTGGAGAAAGGGGAAAACTCCTCCATTGCTGGTGGAAGTACAAACTTGTACAGCCATTTTGAAAATCAGTATAGTGGTTTCTCAGGTAAATAGGAATCAATCTACCTCAAGATCCAGCCATTTCACTCTTAGGCATATACCCAAAAGATGCACATTCATACAACAAGAACATCTGTTCAGCTATGTTCATAGCAGCATTATTATTCCAGCCAGGACCTGGAAGTAACCTGGATGCCCCTCAGCCAAAAGATGAATTTAAAAAATGTGGTACATTTACACAATGGTGTACTTCTCAGCAGAAAAAAACAATGAACTCTTGACATTCACAGGCAACTGGATGGAACTGAGTGACGTAACACCATAGAGCAAAGGAATACTAGCCTACAATCCACACTTCCAAAGAAGCTAAGAAACAAGGATGACCCTAAGAGAGACATACATGGTCCACCAGAGAAGGGTAAAGAAACAAGAGCTCCAGAAAAAATTGGGAGCACTGGGGAGTGGAGAGGGGGAGGGAGGTAGGAGAAAGAGGAGGGGAGAAAAGAAGAGGGGAGGAGAACATAAGGAATCAGAAAGATTGAGTCAGGGGATGAACAGAAGAGATCCAGAAAAGAGATACCTTAATAGAGGAAGCCATTATAGGTTTGAAGAGAAATCTGGCGCTAGGGAAATGTACAGAGATCCATGAGGATGACCCCAACTAAGAATCTAAGCAATAGGGGAGAGTCTACCTTAAATGCCCTTCCCCTATAATGAGATTGATGACTACCTTAAATGCCATTCTAGAGCCTTCATCCAGTAACTAGTGGAAGCAGAAGCAGAGATCTACAGCTAAGCACTGAGCCAAATTCCTGGAACCTAGTTGTGGAGAGGAAGAAGTGATGAGCAAAGGGGTCAAGACCATTCTGGGGAAACCCACAGAAACAGCTGACCTGAGCAAATGGGAGCTCATGCACCCTAACCAGACAGTTGGGGAACCAGCATAGAACCAAACCACACCCCCTGAACATGGGTGACAGTTTGGAGGCCTGGGGGCCTCATTCAGTGGAACCAGTATTTATCCCCTAGTGTATGAATGGGTTTTGGGAGCCCATTCCCCATGAAGAGACACCCTGTATGCCTAGATACATAGGGGAGGGCCTATGCCCCAAATGATGTGACAGATTTTGATGATTCCCCATAGAAGGCCTCACTCTCCCTGGGGAGTGGATTGGGAAGTGGATGGGGGAGGGGGAGTCGTCCATGAAATGTATGGGAGGATGGGAGGGAGAGGGAAGTGGGAATGATATATAAAGTAAGAGTGTTTCTAATTTAAATTAATTATAAAATATATTTTATATAAATATATATATAATATATATATATATATATATAAAAGGAGTATATATATAAAAAAGGAGTATATCCATGTGAGAGGGCAGAGAGGGTAAAGGGGAGGGAAGGAGGGAGGGAGGGAGAGGGAACTGGAATCGACATGTAAAACAATAAATTAAATTAAAAAAATGCTTTGACTCCAAAATTTAAGTTGAAGGACAAGTTACTGGGGAAAAGGATTTCTATTTTTATTTCCACAGAAAATGAAAAGATGTGGATTCCTTTCAGACTAATGTGGTTTGATCACGCCAGACCGCCTGAAACAGAGTACAAGCTAATCCTACATTCAAAACAGCTGGACAAAACAGCCCTACAGACTACAGCCAGGATTTCTGAATCTTCTTCGAATTCCCCCAAGACAGCGCCCCTTACCAGCAGGAAGTAGCTTGGAA